TCCGGCTGAAAAAGGACGGCCATTTGAAGCGACGGGCCAAACGGCGGTTTTAGCTTCGAGAAACGGAAATCTGTTCCATTAGCCTTAGGCAAAGGACTCGTAAACCTATCCTTAAACTCCGTTACTTTCATCGGGTCAAGGTTAACGATTATCGTCATTACTTCAATAGGTCTAAGGTAGGTGTTCACCGACCCGTTCAGATAAAACGGTAATTTTTTTATAATTCTCTCCGGCTTCGGCTCACCAAACCATCCCATCGTTGAGGTCGTGACAACAACCTCCGACACGTTCAAGCCACGTCTCCTGATCGAGTCACGGAACGGCTTGAACTTGAGAACAAGCTCGCTGGTTGCTTGCTGCTCGTCGATTGTAAGCATTGGATAACCATTTCCTACGTGAATCTTGTCCGAAACAATGGCTCGAGAGGAAAAGTCAACGACGATCTCTCGGGTCTTTCCCTTATCTCGGGCAATGACGAACGCCTGACGTGGTGGTGGTTTGACGTTGTGGTCTCTTGATGAGTGCCAGGATAAGACTAAGGAGTAAGGACTTGTCGGGTTCATTGAGACCCACGTACTGGAAAGTGAACCTATGTTCCGGACCAACGGGATACCTTTCGTTGATTATGTTACGGACGAGATTGAGTTCGATCTCAGTCAAGGGATCGAAGGGGTGAGACGGTGGGATGAAGCTTGAGGATGAGATTACAAAAACGGAAGAAAATAGTAAGACGGTAAAGAGAAGTAATTGAGCCATTCCTTTGTGATTTGATTAACTTGGGTGCTGTATATACTTTATATAGCCAAAACTTTCTCTTTCTTTTACACTTGAAACACACAAGTAAACATGTTAATTAGTGTTTTGTGATCCATGTAACATTATTACGTTAAACAAACAAAATAAATGTATACCTTATTATATAACCAAATATTTCCCTTTCGATTACACTTGAAACACACAAGTAAACATGTAAATCAGGGGTTGGTGGTCCATGTATACTTTATTATATAACCAAATATATCCCTTTCTTTTGGACTTGAAACACATAGTAAGCTTGTTAATTGGATTATTTACCCAAAATAAAAAATGTGAATTAGGTTTTGGGGTCCTAGACTTTAATTTATGAATAAGGTTAAAAATATTGAGAAAAAAATAAATTAAATTTTCAGGAAAAAAAACAGAGGAGGTAGTCTATTTAGATTCCGTAGGCCATACAAACTCCAAGGGAGTGAATACATTCATATTGAGGGTGACAAGTAAATCTGTTCATATAATTAACAGTTCAATATGTTGTATTAGTTAATATTAATATTATCTACTAACTGTAAGATTGGTAAAATTATATCAATTAATGAATAGAGAGGCCTCTATATATAGGCTTACAAGAGAAGATTCTAGAAGATATACACTAGAGATTTACATAACTAAATTTGGAAGATTTACATTTATCTATGACTCTAACATGCCCCCTCAAGATGGAGAACCATTGGTTACTCCAATCTTGAAACGAAGATCTTGGAAACGAGCCCGTGGTAGTGGTTTAGTAAGGCCGTCGGCGAGTTGATCAATAGAGTTGACATGGAGAACACGAAGAACACCGGCTTGAATAAGCTCACGTACAAAATGATAATCCAAAGCAAGGTGTTTCATACGAGAGTGAAACACAGGATTAGCACACAAGTACGTAGCTCCAATATTGTCACAATAAACCTTGGGAGCTGTTGGAGTCCGGATACGAAGATCAGATAAAAGAGATAGAACCCATTTCACTTCCGAGGCTGCCTCTGTCACCGCTCTATACTCTGCTTCGGTAGATGAACGAGAGACTCCTTTTTGCTTCTTAGACGACCAAGAAATCGGATGGGAACCAAGATAAACGATATATGCCCCCGTAGAGGAATAGTCATCTTTGTCTCCTCCCCAATCTGCATCGGAGTAGGCAGATAGTTCTAAGGAAGTATTCGCCGAAAACCACAAACCATGTTCGATAGTCCCGGCAAGATAGCGCAACACTCTCTTAACAGCATCCCAATGAACTGTAGTCGGAGAATGCATAAACTGAGATAAACGATTGACCGCAAAGCCAATGTCAGGACGTGTGAGAGCAAGATATTGAAGACTTCCTACCGCAGCACGATACTCCGTCGGATCAGGTAATTTAACACCATCAGCCACGGTGAGAGTTGTAGAAGAAGCCATTGGTGTAGGAACCGGTTTAGCGCCAATCATGTGATACTTGGTGAGTATATCTGTGGTGTACTTGCGTTGGTTCAGCCTGATACCCGCAGAGCTACGAGTAACTTCAAGACCAAGGAAGTAGGAGAGAGCACCCATGTCTTTTAGCGAGAACCGCTTGGAGAGAACTTGAATGAAACGATCAATAGCCGAAGCACTGTTTCCGGTAAGAACAATATCATCAACATACACCAACATATAGATGATGACTTCTCCCATGTGAAAAACAAACACCGACGCATCCGCTAAGGAATTAACAAATCCATTGCTAAGAAGAAAATCCCGCAGTTCATTGTACCATGCTCTAGGAGCCTGCTTCAAACCATATATCGCTTTGTGTAAACGACATACATAATGTGGTTTGTCTTTGTCAATAAATCCCGGTGGTTGACTCATATACACCTCCTCTGTAAGTTTCCCTTGTAAGAAGGCATTGTTGACGTCAAGTTGCCGTAATACCCAATTTTTCCGTGCAGCAAGTCCAAGTACCACCCGTATTGTAACATGTTTGATGACAGGACTGAAAGTTTCTTGAAAATCTATTCCCGGGCGTTGATGAAAACCTTTTGCAACAAGTCTCGCCTTAAATCGGTCAATCGTCCCATCCGCTTTCCTTTTAATCACAAAAATCTATCGATTGCCGACCACATTTGATGCAACACGAGGATCTACCAATGTGAACGTACCATTACGTACAATAGAATCAAACTCTTCTCCCATAGCACGTCTCCATCTTTCATCTTTCAAAGCTTGAACATGGGACGTTGGTTCAACTTCCTCAAGTTTTATATTATTTGCAAACTTCCTGTTAGGTTTCTGAATATTATTCTTTGCCCTTGTAACCATTGGATGAATATTGCTTGGAACCAAGGCGGGAGCAGGATTTTCGACCACAACATTGTTCTCTGCATTGGCCGTCTCTTGGGGGGCAGAATTGTCATTCTCATTTGGTGAAGAATCATTGTCGGACTGTTCTTGTGCCGTTGTCGGTGGTGAAGGATCCAAACTGGGGGGCGAGCGGGTGATGAGTGACTCAAGATAGACCCGAGCTGCGGAAACAGGATGAAAAACAGAGGAAGAGGACTCATGGGAAGTGTTAGTTGAGGACAAAAATGAAGATAAAGGAAATTCATTTTCATGGAATTCAACATGACGGGAGACAAACATTTTGGATGTGGAAAAATCATAACATAGATAGGCACTTTGTGTAAGAGAATACCCAAGAAAAATACATGGAGTGGAACGAGGAGAGAGCTTGTTTTGTGAATAAGGACGAAGCCATGGATAGCAAAGGCAACCAAACACACGAAGCCTTGTATAGTTTGGTGGGGACTGAAAAAGAACCTCATATGGAGAGACATTGGAGAGAATCGGTGTAGGCATTCTGTTGATGAGAAAGACGGCTGCGGCTAGTGAATAAGACCAATACTCTATTGGTATTTTAGCGTGTGACATTAGTGACAATCCCGTCTCAACAATGTGACGATGTTTTCTCTCCGCAATGCCATTATGTTCGGGTGTGTGAGGTGGTGATGTGAGATGTGAAATGCCATGACTTGCAAGATAGGACCTTAAGCCAATATATTCACCTCCATTGTCCGAGTATAGCGTTGTAAGCTTCGTCTTGAACCGATTCTCCACCAATGCCCTGAAAACCGGAAAAATTGTGGCAACATGAGATTTTTGTTTTAATGGATAAAGCCATGTATACCTTGTATAATGGTCAACAAAAATCACATAGTATTTATAGCCATCAATTGAATAAACCGGAGATGTCCACACATCCGAGAAAACAATATCAAGGGGATAGTGCGAGTGAATTGATGATTGAGAAAATGGTAGTTTATGACTTTTATTAATAGAACAAGCATTGCAAATTGTCGAAAAAGACATAGGAATTTTAGAACGAGATGAAATAAGTTGAATAACAGAATTTGCCGGATGCCCTAATCGAGCATGCCAAGCAGGGGAAGATGTTTTAAAAGTAGAAAAAGTTGAAACAAAAGAAGATCCAGAAGGAATCGTTGGCCACTCATACAACCCATCATTAGCTCTGCCCTTGATTATTGTTGCCCCCGTGTTGAGATCCTTCACCTGAAAATCATTAGGACACATTTGAACCATTACACCATTAGATCGACATAATTTATTCACCGAAATCAAGTTCTTCTTGATAGTCGGAACACACAAGACATTATCAAGCAATAACTTTTTAGTTGGAGTAGAGAAAGTAGTGGAACCCGTATTAGTAATTGGCAAGCCAGCTCCGTTGCCAACAATCACTTCTTCACCGCCATTGTATGGACCCGCAATGGACATATTGCTTAAATCTGAAGCAATATGATGAGTCGCTCCACTATCGAGTAGCCACGGTGCTTGTGAATAGTTAGTGGAAGCGGTGTAATGAGCTCGCGGTTGCCAGTTGGGAGGCGGCATCGGTGGTGATGGATTCCACATTGTTGGAGATGATGGTGGCGGATACTGCGACGGCGGATACTGCGACGGCGGAGACCATTGTGGTGAGGCAAGCTGACGACAAGTTCGTGCACTATGACCATGAATACCACAAATCTGGCATCTTCCTTGGTACCCACGTCCTTGTGATCCTCTTCCAGAACCTCTACCTCTTCCATAGTTGTTGTTGTTGTAGTACTGGTTCTGATTCTGTTTCGAGGAGTTGTTGTTGTTATTGTACTTGTGTTGTGCCATATTTGCAGACGCAGGAGCAGCCGTTGATGTTGTCTCCGCAAGGTTGCGAAGCGTGTTCTCTCTGTTGAGAAGTTTCTCATGTAGCTCTTCAATGGTTATTGGAGTTTCTCTTCCATTGACAAGTTCCACAACCGGGCGATAATCATCATCTAAGCCAGTAGTGATGTGATCAAGTAGGTCTTCATGCGGGAGTGGTGAGCCAAGGAGCGCTAACTTGTCAGCCTTAGTAACAACATTCTTCATGTAGTCTTCCACCGATTGATTTCCTTTGGAGATAGTCTTGAGTTGTTGTCTTATTTGGTTGATGTGTGCTCTTGATGGATTGCCATAAGTCTTGGCTAGTTTAGCCCAAATCTCACGAGTAGTCATCGCACGTGCAACCATTGGTTGCACTTGAAGAGATAGAGTGCCGATGATAGCACGTGCAACCATTGGTTGCACTTGAAGAGATAGAGAAGACGATCTTGTCTTGTCCAAGAAGTAAACTTAGGGTTTGGTGTTGTCACAGTACCTGAAACGATGTGGGTGGGTGGAGCTTTATCGGTTTCACTAATAAAACCATGAAGCTCGTGACCTTCTAGGAGAGCTGTGATCTGGAGACGCCAAGTGAGATAATTCATTGATGTCAATTTTGTGATGTTTGACATGTTCACGGCGATGAGAGTTGGGGTTGCACTATCTATGTCAAAGATAGGTACTCTCGAATACGTTGCAACTGACGACGAGGCTTCTTCACTCATGTTGATGACTGAAGAAAGAACCGGTGAAAAGAGACGCTAGGTCTGTAGCGGCGGTGGGTTGGTGAGGCGTGAAGAAAAAAATTAGGGTTTTTGTGTTTTGATCGATTGCTCTGATACCATGTAAGATTGGTAAAATTATATCAATTAATGAATAGAGAGGCCTCTATATATAGGCTTACAAGAGAAGATTCTAGAAGATATACACTAGAGATTTACATAACTAGATTTGGAAGATTTATATTTATCTATGACTCTAACACTAACAAAGTGATGATATCTTAAAACCAATACGGTCCGACGAAGTAAAAATAAATATATGTAATTAAATAACAAAGAAAATAAGCATCCCAAACGATATATCTTTGGTAAGTAGGAACAAAAATAGCTAGAACCATACATCTTTTAATTGATTAATATTCATATCCACTCCACCACATAAAATAAAAACCGTTTGCATAAAGAGAAAAACGAAAGAAGGATCAATAATACCAAGACAGCAGTTTCTCAGACCAAATATGGATGCGAGTTTTTTTCATGGAGCACCAGGTGGATCCTTGTGTCCGATGCCTTGGCTAGGACCTTGACCAGTGGGTCGGAAGGCGGTTTGTTCAATGTTCTTGTATATATTGATCTTGAACCATTCAAAGTCATCCTTTGGGGGTGATGGTGGTGACCACTCGATAGAACTTGGCGGACCAAACACTCTAACTGGTGTTCGCGCAGCTGTTGTAGTTTCAAAATGCAGATGTAACACAAGCAAAAAGAGCACAAATAAGGATAAAGACACACTAGAACTATAACGGTTCACCATTATCAGTAACTTAAAACTTAGAGAAAACACTATATCTAACAATCTAAAACTCAAAACGTGTAACAATACTTTTATCAGAAAAGAACTTATAGAATTTTAGAGGAAATGATTGAGCTTGTTCTCATAGATACAAGCGAGAAGGATGCTACTTAAGAAGGCTCCATGGGTGGACCCTAAAAGTCCTATGTTTTGTTTTGTATTTCCTCTTGTTTCGTTTAATAGTATGATTCCATTAAAAGTAGATGCTGTTAGAACATGGCTTTGTTTGTCGTATCATAGTCAATTTGATGATACTTTGAAATAAGAAAAAGAGCATGCTCCCACTAATACTTACCAAAAATGGCATCGGTCTCGATATGACAACCCTAAAGATTTCTTCTTTTAGGAAGTCATGAGATACATATATCGGAAAATGCTTTGTCCACTTAACCTGCCAGATGTTTTAATTACGCTCTCTTTATATATGTGTACTTCTCCCTATCAATTGGCCAAGATTTAAAGGCATGTTCACATATGTTATTAAAAGACATAAATATACTACAAGCGAACAATAAATAATGAATAATGAAAACCCACCAAGTCACCATCAGTTAAATTATTTTACATTAAGGAAACGCCAACCTTAGCTTAAATGGCCAATTCGAGGAATCCTCAAGATGAGAACAGATTCACTTTATCAAAAAGAAGAAGAAGATGAGAACATAATCCAACAACTATGTTGATTCAGAAAATCACACAATGAATTTGTTTAAGGGAGGAAAACAAATTCAATTAACTCTCTTGCTATTTGTGATCAAAGACTCGAATGAAAGGGTGAATTTTATTGCTTAAAGACAACGTTAGGGTTTAGCTCAAGAACAATCGAGAACACTAGTGTTTTTTTGTATAAAGTTGCGGATCCTTGAATAGAGGACAAACCCCTCTATTTATACATAATTAAGGCGGTTTAGAGATAAGTTAAACTTCCTCCTTTTTTGGGTCTTGAATCTTCTAACTTCCTTTTATCTTCTAAATTCTCCTTTATCCGAGAGGAAAACTTCTTTTTCTTCGAATAGGAAATCGGTCAGGCGATCTCCCTATTTCGGGTTATGGTCGGCAGGCAATCTCTTTACTCTGGCCCATTAACAGGCGAAACCGGGGTACTCCGGTTTGACTGAATTCTTAGTTTAATTCGTAATTCCTTTGGTTTAGACCGGTATTGTCGGAGGTGCTAATTCCTGCACCAACAAACTATTTTAACGCCACCATTTAAACATAAGTATAATCAATTAAGTATAATCAACAGCTATTTTTATCTCGATTATATTCATTATCTAAACTGATGGTATTAGGCAGATTCAGTTATAAAGTTATTCTCTAAACGTATTCACACTAGTGTTTACTTTTCTTTTTTTGATAGGAACACACTAGTGTTTACGTTTGAAACTAGTCATATATTGAAGTAATACCTAATTAGTTTCAAACGCAGCATGAAAGCAAATGTCTCATCTTCATGAGAATTGATGATTACTCTATTTATGAATGAGCTAGCTTTAAAATTACAAATTCATTAAATTGTGAAACATTGTCTTTATAAAAATGATTAGTTCGTTTATTTTTTTAGGAAATAAATTATATGGATCCAAGAAGTCACATACCTCATATCTAAATATAGTGATGGAACAAATTATTTGAATGATATGCATTAATTTGTTTTCTAGTATTTCATTTTATTAGTTCACTCTTAGCAGAAACTATTAAAGTGAGCTTGAGGATTTATTAATAATCAAACCACAATCACGAATATAGGTGTGAGCCTACATATAATTAAGATGGGGTCCAAGGATCACTACTGATATATGATTCGATTTTTTTTTTTTTTTTATGAATCTATTTCAAACTTTTGTTGTTTTGCTTATATTTTATAACTAAGCTAGGACCCTCATATTAACAATTAAGGAAGATATATTAGATATTATTGATGTAGATATTTAAATTTTACTTGGTAAACACAATTCAAAATTTTACACAACTTTATCTTTAAATAGTGTTCTTTCTTTGATATTTGATCAATATAATTCATGAATTAATTTCTTACACACATAAATATATAAATAATCACCAAAATAATATAGTGATTTTAGTATATGTTTTATACAAAACATAATAAAACAAATTAAACTATGAGAAGTAGTAAACAATATAATTAGTAATACAGTAAGTGGAAGAATACTAGTGTTAAAAAATACAAATATACTAACCTTGTCAACACGTAATAAAAATATATTCCCATATTTGTTTCTTAAAAAATATTAGACGCACTATATATAATACAGCGATAAAAATATATCCAAATATTTTTGAACTCCTACACTCATTCAGTTTTATTGATATTCATGCACAAATAAAAAAAATAGAATTGCAACAAAAAAATGTCGACCAAAAGAATAAGATATCAAAATATTTAGTTTTTTTTTTTCTTTAGAAAAATGCTTCCATATTATTTAGTATAATTAGAAAATATTTGATTCGAATTATAAGACCATGCGCATACAGTCCTTTTTAGAAGACGATGTCGATGAGTATATGCATACCAAACAATTGGAGGAACATGAGTTTCGTTCGTCAAGATTTTGGAAAATAAATATATAGTAGAACCCAAATGATATTTTACGATTTTCCACATGATCAAGTTCTTCATTTCATATATTTGAAACCGAATTGGTTTAAGTAATTTGATAAAGTGCTTACCTAAAACCTAATTAACTCTACCATTGATCCAACTCTAGCTAGGTCACGCCTATTTCCTTTTTGTCTCCCACTAATTTATTCCCCTCCTCTAAGTTCTAAAGCATTATTTGAATAATCCAACTTGAATACGAAGTACGAACAAATAAGACATTAGTTTAATTTGATGATTGGACTTTATAAACTAAATTAAACTTGTATATTATTTATTTTTATGTTATTGTGTTATCATGTAAAAATGAAACAAAATTAGTTAACTTTTATTGTTTGATAAGAAACAAAAACGAGCAGTTTAAAATGATGTATAGCCAATAAGAAATATCTAAATCAATCTTATGTTTAATATTTTTTTATTTAACATTTTAAAAATAGAGCAATGAAAAAGCAGATTAAATATCTAGCCAGTTATTTTTTGATATTTCAATGGGGTATTTGTTATGCTGATAACACCTCATCTGTTGGAGATTAATCATCCTATACTAATATTTGGGAAGTACATCCTAAGGATCATAACTTAAATTTGGTAAGAAATTACAATATATGCCATTATATAATTCTAATCATAAAATTTATTCCATGTCACTAATATATATTAACGGGTCAATGGGTCAACGGGTTTAAAGATATTAAAAGATTTTGTTTATATAATACATAATTAATATAATTCGAGAATTTTATATACTAATCAATATTCGAGATTATATAATACATAAAAATGTTATATAATACATAAAAGATTTTGTTTATATAATATATAAAAATGTTATATACTAATATACTAATATATTATTCGAAAATGTTATTGAAAATTGAAAATGTTATTCAAAATGTTATATAGTAATCCATTATTCGAACATCTTATAAAAAATGTCATTGAAAATGATATATTATTGAAAACATTTTATATCAATCCAATT